CCACTTAAGAATTCTTTAAAAATCGATAATTAACAATGTTGAGGTAAAGACGTGTATATGCTCTTTTTTTTTTTATACTTTTGTTTTAATTGTGCTACACCTTAAGGTAGCAATGTAGCACAAACGCATCAAACATATTGGTTATCATCTTATTTTCTTGAATTATAAAAAGTAATTTATGTTTACAAAAATAATAGCATTGATTTTTTAACAAAAATTGTTAGGTTTAAAATATTACATGAAAATTAATTTAAACATTTATAGTTATTATACTGGTAAAGCATCGATTCTTTGGTTTAATTGATTATGCACTATTTATTTTGTTTAAGAATCTTAAAAGGCATGGCTTCGCGTCTGAAGTAAAACACGATCTGGTCCATTGCAAGAGTACAGCACCGGACACGGACAGTAGTGGACGACGAGACATATCGAGAAAGTCTCTTTTATATCTTTTCTTTCTTTTTTCAGAGAATTTTTTGGTCGGACGAAAAGTAAATTAGTTCAAAGCATTAGAACAAAACATCATTTCTTGCTTTCGTACGTGTTTATAAGCATTGCTTTTTAAATATGAAAATTGAATATAATTTGTTCATACATATATTTGTAAAACATGAATACGTAAGGCAAAACATAAACTTTTATCCGTTTGTGTTACTAGTTAATTGTAAAATAATTTTGACTAAACACCAGTTTGACTAATCCATTAAACATCGTATGCATCAAAAAAATACTGCGATTTTTTCCCGTTATAATTTAAACCATATTTTCATTTATGAACACTGTAAAAAAGTATAATAAATAAATAGTATGCTGAACAGTTTATATTCATTTTGTATGGATTATTTTCAAGGCTTTCTAATAAAATATGCAAATAATGAATTAGAATCATTCAATGGATTTTGATGTGATCACCACAAAAATAAGAAGTTCTCTGATTGGAAAGGACTACATCTTTTTGTCAACAATTAGAAAGAGCTTATAATAATAAATAACAAAAAGTACTTTAAATAAAATAACAATAATAAAGACAAATTATATAAAAATGAAATAGCTTAATAAAAAAAATTGTAGTTAGAAAGCGGCGTCCTTCGAAACAGGTAGATAGCCAAGTTCGCCTTTTCTGTTTTATTATTTATGTTACCATTTTTTTTGTCAAAATGGACTGCCCAAACCACACAATAGCCAAGTTTTTGGATGAGCTTTTTCATCTCTTTCGATCTTTTCCAAAACTATCTTCAAATTTTGTAGTTGCGTTACTAATCCTCCGTTTCGCTTTTGATTATTTTTCTTTCTTTGCTTCCATATTATTCATACTCTCACGCACCACAACCATATTATCTTCTTCTTTTGTTTTTCCATTTTAATTACCAAAAGTACAAACTATAAAGTGATAAAAAAAATATCTATTTGTACTTTTATACATGGATTACTATTATTTTATCCCATTCTATAACTATTATGGTATAGAAAAAGACTGGACTTTTTGATCCGTAATATTATTTTCTTCTATACAATAAAAAGAATATAGATGTTTATATGATACATATGTAATGAAAACCGTCAGAATGATATGGATCGAAGGTTCTCATGCTGGCTGGTTCTAAACTGTCAAAATGGGTCGCATGAAGCCACTTGTTATTATCAATAAATCAGTTATATCATATCCATCTATTGACAATTGTATATATACTTGAAGCCACACGTTTTCGTAGAGCATATCCTACTTTGATTAATACAAAATACATTCGTACAAAAGCTTGGCTTGTCAACCTGTCATACACGTGGTAGATCTCAAAGCTTCGAAATAATCTAAGCGATAAAGAATTGATCTAGCAAAACTAATATTGTTTTTTTATCACACTTATGATAACCAACTAAATTATGTTTAGATATTCATAATTTCAGCAAATTTATTTAAGTATTTCTAGGACGACGACGAGTACTCATGATAGCAAAAACAAAATATGAAGTCGACGCACATATATACTAATAAATAAGGTCGGAATGATCAAACGTTAATATATAACCTAATCATTTGTGTTATTGTAGTCCTATGTCATTTCTCGACTTATATTGTTACAGTGGAAACCAAAACTGTCGACGAAAGATTTATTTTACGTAAATATATTTTATCAGGATAGAGGAAAAAGAACGAGATTTGAGGTATTTCTCGAAAATAATATCAAGAAAGATATATATCTAATAAATAAATAAAAATTAATTAATTGGGGAGTCAAATAATCGTCAAGAACGTTCCGAGTCAAAACAGTTCTGTACTTGTTTATCATGTGAAGATCCCAACAAACTCAACCAAACTCAGTTAGCGTAAGCTATCCGTCCGATGAAAAATGAGTTCCGATCCAACGGTCAGAGAGAAACATAGTGCTTCTAACTTTATGTTTTATGCATCGTACCAGATCACTTCAAGTAGCAGTTTAGTTAAATAATATCAGGACGCCGACAAAACCGAAAATGACGGTTAACGAGAATCTTCGTGTAATAATTGCCGAAACCGACACTTTATGTCAAAGTTAGCTCAAACATAAGCTATGATTAGGATTTTGTAATTTTTCACATTAGTTTAGTTAATACTATAAAACAAACGACATTTGAAACTGCTTTGTGACAGTGGCCAGAGCAGGTTGTACTAGACTGTATCACTTGAATATGAGATTCTTCACGCCGACTTTTATCGGCATTTTAGGAATGACAACCCATTCACAGATAGTGATTTTAAAAGTGTTTTAATTATAGCACACTTGCTAATTATCTCTATTTTCTTTAATTGATGACTTCAATGTTGTTTATTAATATTTTTTTAACAATTATTTATTAGTGTTTGTTGATTTAATCATATGATTAAGACAAATGGTACAAAAAGTGCATTACAAGTCTTCTTTTGTTCACAAACCCCATGCAAACCTCTCGGAATCTGAAGGCCGTTGATTTTAGAACTCGTTTTAATCTTATACAGATAAAATCTTTTTGATTTTGAGAATCTTAGCTTTCATACGGTCAAAGATTCATGCAATTTCTATCTAACTCTTACCTCAAATACACCAAACCAGATTTTGTTGGATAGTGATATGAATATCAAATGTCGCTATATATATAATCTTATCATATATAACATACATGAACATGACCGGGAAAAAAGTTCATATTTGGTTAACCTAAGAATCACTGATCCAACCCGCATGGGCGCATATGTTTTCAATGTAAACTGAAGCCACTTCCAAACAAACTAAGAATCAGAGCTATTAAAATGCATCGTACGTTTTTCTTTGAAGGGCATGCAACAACGACGTACGTATACACTTGATCGAAAAACAAAACTTACATTAAATGGCTGCTTTATTGATTTTTTCCTTTCGTATAAGGGTTTTAATTCCCACCACATACCGATTTTTTAGTAACCGGCCACGAACGTAACGTGTTATAAAATGTAACAACACGTTATTTCCTTGTCTTGTACAGTAGTACACAAAAACAATCGTCAGTTAAGTTCAAATATATGACTCGTCCGTTACATGTTGATCCGACCATGCTTACTGACCTGTACATCAGTGCATGTATGCCATGTAAGAAATGACATGGTGTGTGTGCACGCCACGAGTACGTTGATTCACAAGTCTCGAGAGCCTGAAAATAAACTTAGGGATCTCACATGAATATTTGTGCACTCCAACGCAAACTCTTTCTCCAGATATTCTCTTTGATACGAAGCAATACAATATCCTAATAATAATAACAACTCGCTATATATGACTATAGTCTACATATAGTCTGTCCAGTTTACCTTTCCAGAATACGTTTCTCATAACTTATACAAATCCTTTTATTCATTGGATCATTGAGATTTTTGGATATCTCTCTTGAAACTAGAGTTTTTAACTCTTTTTTTTCCCGCAATTTTTAAAGCATTTTCATGAAAATAATAACTGTATAGTTCTGGATGTTAGCAGCACAAAGTCAAAGAGTAAGATAGAGGGTTAAATATGAAAATATTGCAGACATTACAATGCAGGTTTACCTTCTAAATCATGTTTCATAACATAAAAACAAAGATTAGTTTGATTGTTTTTCGAGTTCCCAACATATTTATGAGTTTGATTGTTTGCTTGTTTTTCAATAAACTGTCCTTTGATAGTTATGCTTTTACGACTTCAGTGTTCTGATTTGTAATTGTTTTGCAGAAGATATATACAAAATATTCGTGTTCATTGGTCCAGGGACATTTAACTCACATCAGAGTCTAAAAGGAGATACACACGTTAGATACATTTTAAATTCTCAATATTATTTATAGAGATATTATTCTTTCTGTTTCTTAAAAATATTTATTATATATATAATATATTCATATTCATAATAAATAAATTCCTTCATATTGATCATATCATTATAATTCAGTGGATTTTATCATTTTAAGATATATATATATTATCCATATACGTCAATATATTTAAATATCTTAAGAAATACTTACTAAACTTGAAAAGTGTCAAAATAATAATAAAAAATGTGTGAATGAAATAAGTACTAAATGAATTATCATTAAATGTAATTTAAAAATTATTACTTAAAAACTAGTGGTGATTGATCATTATAGATTAAGAATTGAATGATGGTCCATCATCTTATCTTGAGAAATCAAATTTTTTGGTATTTTACTCTTAAATGTTTACAAAAAGTGTGTATTGTATTCACTCTAATTCACCCAATTCTGCCCATTTGTTTCATGTGTTACACAATTCCCTTTTACACAAACAAAAACAAAATATCAAATTACTTAAGACAACCAAAAAAATTCACAAATAAGGAAACACTTTTCCAAAGTATAGGCGACAAGTTGAGCAAAGTCCTCCTATTTTAAAAATAAAATAAAATTATAAATAAGACAAGTAATAATGCCACATCATCATCATCATCATCTGATTCATGCATGAACCTCTTCTCTTCTCACATCCTCTACTATAAATACATCATCTCCCTCATCTCACACTCCTCATCACACACACACAACTGTGAGAGAGCTAGCTACCAAAACAGAGAAAATAAAAGATGCCTTGTTTAGAGAACTCTGTTACGGTAATCTCAAGAAGCAGAGTTTTCCCAGATCAAAAGTCAACTCTCGTTGACCTTAAGCTCTCCGTCTCCGATCTCCCTATGCTCTCTTGCCACTACATCCAGAAAGGCTGTCTCTTCACGCGCCCTCACCTTCCCCCGCACGCGCTTCTCGCTCACCTCAAACACTCCCTCTCCCTCACTCTCTCCCACTTCCCTCCTCTCGCCGGCCGCCTCTCCACATCCTCCTCCGGCCACGTTTTCCTCACCTGCAATGATGCCGGCGCCGATTTCGTCTTCGCCGAAGCTAAGTCCGTCTGTGTTAGCGACGTTCTCGCCGGAATCGACGTCCCAGATGTTGTCAAAGAGTTTTTCGCCTACGACAGAGCCGTCAGCTACGACGGACATAACAGACCAATCCTCGCCGTCCAAGTGACGGAGCTGATCGACGGCGTTTTCATCGGGTGCTCCGTTAACCACGCCGTCACCGACGGAACTTCTCTGTGGAATTTCATCAACACCTTCGCGGAGGTATCCAGAGGAGCTGAGAATGTGACACGTCAGCCTGATTTTACGCGGGAGTCCGTGCTAATCTCGCCGGCTGTGCTCAAAGTCCCTCAAGGTGGTCCGAAGGTGACGTTCGACGAGACGGCGCCTTTACGCGAGCGGATTTTTAGTTTCAGTAAAGAATCGATTCAGGAGCTTAAAGCTGTGGTGAACAAGAAGAAATGGTTGACGCTTGATAACGGCGAAGTAGACGGCGTCGAGTTGTTAGGGAAGCAAAGCAACGATAAACTTAACGGAAAAGAAAACGGTAAATTAACGGAAATGCTGGAGAGTTTGTTCGGTAGAAACGACGCCGTTTCGAAAACCGTTGCTGCGGTTGAGATCTCGTCGTTTCAGTCTCTTTGCGCTTTGCTGTGGCGTGCGATCACTCGTGCGAGGAAGCTTCCGGGTTCGAAAACGACTACGTTTCGTATGGCTGTGAACTGCCGCCACCGTTTGAGCCCTAAGCTGAATCCCGAGTATTTCGGAAACGCGATTCAGAGCGTTCCGACGTTTGCGACGGCGGGAGAGGTTTTGTCTCGTGATCTTAAATGGTGCGCCGATCAGCTTAACCAGAGCGTGGCGGCTCATCAAGACGGGAGGATTCGAAGCGTCGTTGCGGATTGGGAAGCGAATCCTAGGTGTTTTCCTCTCGGGAATCCCGACGGAGCTTCGGTCACGATGGGGAGCTCGCCGAGGTTTCCAATGTACGATAACGATTTCGGGTGGGGAAGACCGGTGGCGGTTAGAAGCGGACGCTCGAATAAGTTCGACGGGAAGATCTCGGCGTTCCCGGGGAGGGAAGGAAACGGGACTGTTGATTTGGAGGTGGTTTTATCGCCGGAGACTATGACTGGGATTGAATCTGACGCCGAGTTTATGCGATACGTGACTATAAATTAACGGAGTTTATCAAATAATAACGTTAACGGTTTCTCTCTGTTTTTTTCTTTTCTTAAAAACTTAACGATGTAATATTATTGTGACTTTGTAAGTTGACCCCCTAAAAAGAAAAAAATGTTTACGTTTGCTACATTACATTAAAACACAAACTGGCAACTGCTGTATTCGTCAAACATGGATCAGAAGCATAGAAGCAAACATTAGATTGGTCAGCAAATTGCCTTAACCAGTCTCGAGGCCAAGATACACTTGAAGATAACCAACAGTTACGATATTTCCAATGGTGTCCAAGTTCTCAAGTTTGATTTTACGGTACACATTAGCATTTGTCTTCATGGGCAGTGCTGTGTTTGCTCTCCCAATAAAAAATCGGTCCGTGTCAGTTGGATTTACACTGAACAACTCCAAGTTGAGAAACGATGCAGCCTTGTGTTGAGGAAGGTGCAGAACCTCACGAAACTCAGGATCTGAGTTGGTTGTCTGTTAAGCTTTTAATACTCGATTCTCAGATAATGGTTTAACTTTAGGAATCAATTCTCTTTATTAAATGCTTTAAGAACACAATCGATATCTCTTGAAATAGAAAGTTCAGATTACAAATAAGAAATGAAGAATAAGTGAAGAATGAAGTCAGATCCTCAGCACACCTTCGGATCTACCTTCCCCATATGTTAGTCTCATAACGACTAATTCTTCACCATAATCAACATACCCCAAATGAGATCAGATCTTCTTTATTTATACTTCCATAGCTGATCACCCTTCATAACCCTTCTCACGTGTGCCTTGGATCCTTATCAATCACCACACGTGTGAGGACCACCCTTGGCACTAATCCTCTGTTTCTTCTTTCTAACGTACACCCTATGCACCTTATCATTGTCACAATCTTTGTTTGGCGCGGATCATCTTGGTTTGTCCATGCTCTCACCTTGTAGTTGTATTTCTTCTCACCACCGTCGCCAATTCCTGATGCCCTCACTACCATTACAAATAAGTCCATTTTCTTTTTGTTTCTTGATTTTTATCTACACAAAAGAGACATACAACGTGTTTCAAATTACAGTGGTAGAGCCAAAGAAAAAAGAAAAGAAGAAGGAGCCTAAACTGCTTTCATTTAATCACAATATTGAAAATATAAGCTAATTACCAAAAAAACAAAAATATTGAAAATATAAGCTCTAGTTAGACAAATTTTTTTGAACCCTCTTATGATTATTGATGATGTAATTAGTTTGCTATTTCAAGTATTACTTAAACCAAAACTTATCATACCACCTATTTATAATAAGATTTAACAATATTTAAGTTTTCTTTTATTAAAAGGTAATAAAAGTGATGATGATCTTTAATCTTCATATATGTTTCAAACAAGTGTATGTGTAAGCATGCTATTAGATTAAAAATCATTGAATTCTATAACCCAACATCTCTCTGGAATATTAAAGATACATATACACATATTAAATTGTGGGATTTTATTAATAAACTCATTAGAATATGGTTACATCAAACTTAACTATATCTCAACTGTGTTCCAAAAAAAAAAAACTATCAAGAGATATCTTCTCTCTATTGGGTTCTGGCCCAAGAGTTAGAGATGGTCTGTGAGCTTTGTGCAGGGAGCTTGTCCTAACACGAAAAGTAAGAGAGAAGCCCACTTAAATGTTAGCAAGGCCCATACGATGGTACAAGAAGAAAACTAATGACTTTTTCTGGTGAAAATCCATATCAAGCGAAACTCGTAAAAGTTTAAACCAACCACGGAAGCAAATATTAATCGAATGAATGATGATATCATCATATTCATATGCAAGCAAAGCCTTGCTCCTACATCAAAAATGAACCAAACACGCAATTCAAGAAAGAGCTTATCCAAGCTAAACGACGTTTGAGTACGTAATATCACTCAAGTGCTAGGGGTATGTCAGTAAATCACTATCCACATACACTGCCTCAACGTCAACTTGCGTGTCTCTTTTCTTTCGATTGAACATCTCCGAGAAAAGAAAGCCAAAATAATCTTCCTTTGGGGGATGGAGACGAAGCTTCTTCACCTACATACGCCATTTACAACTGCCTCTTAAGCAGCAGCCTCTTTCATCCTCTCCGTTCGTCGGCGACGATTTCAATCCTTATCCTATATTTGATACCGGAAGGTATTTCTGGATCTCTTTGCATTAGAGAATTAGCGATTTCGATTTCTGTTTTTGTTGTAGTTATGCTAATAATTGGTTGACTGGAATAGTGGAATCATGTCGGACGCTTTGATCAATGGATTGGCTGGAGCTGGTGGTGGGATCATTGCTCAGCTCCTCACTTATCCTCTTCAAACTGTACGATTTCTTTCACTTCCCAAATTTTTGTTTCTTCTCCTAATTATTCAAGTTTTCTCGTTTGAAACGATTGTTGTTGTTGAATTAGGTAAATACGCGGCAACAAACGGAGCGGGATCTGAAGAGGGAGAAGAGGAAACTTGGAACTATCGAACACATGTGTCAGGTTTTGTTCTTTTTGTTTTCACTCTCAGTCTCAGGATCACGCAGATTGAATTATTAGTTGTTTTCTGCGATTCTTTATGAGTAGAAGTTAAAATGGAATCGTTGTTGTCTTAATTTTGTAATGACATGTTTTTTGAATTGCTTTGATTTGTATTGAAGGTTGTCAAACAAGAGGGATGGGAGCGATTATATGGTGGATTGGCGCCGTCTCTAGCTGGAACGGCCGCGTCACAGGTAAAAATAGTCTCACTTGTGTATAAATATCTGGAGAGTTCTGTTTCTTTTTGTAAGCCTTTTGAGTTCTTTACTCACTCGTTTTGATGAGCCAGGGTGTGTACTACTACTTCTACCAAGTGTTTCGGAATCAAGCTGAAGCTGCTGCTCTTGCTCGAAGGAAGAAAGGGTTGGGTGACGGAACTGTTGGGATGTTCTCTTCACTTTTAGTGGCTGCCTTCGCTGGGTACAATAGCAATCTTTTTATGTGATTATTGCATACGCTAGTTTTTGGTCTGTTAGCAATGCAATATATAGTTGATTTTTATTAGTTTTAATTCAAAATAGCTCTTAGGTTCTTCAGTTCTTTCTCATACTCTTCATATTGGCTGTCTGGAGTGTAGGCTATGAGTAAAGGCTCGCCATGGTCACATTGCTAATGCTATCATCTTATGCTCTTATAGTATTGCTCGTTTAACAGAGCTTCTAGGTGGATGGTCTAACTTTTACTGCCAGGTCGTACAGTCATAGTAGATGTTGTTTTCTTTCATTGTAAACTTTGGTGGCATATATAGTTCATTAAGAGATTTTTTTTTTTCTTTCTTTATTGCTTCGGATTGCTCACGTGAATTATGATAACACTTTCTCTGTGCAGATCGGTTAATGTTCTTATGACGAATCCAATTTGGGTGATTGTTACACGTATGCAGGTATAAATGGCTTCCTATGCACCACTGTAAAGTGCTTCTTTAGGCTGTCCTGTCAAATTCTTTGAATTTTGAGAAACGATTTTCTTTGGTCCGTGGTTGTTTTAGTTTCGCATTTATTCATGAATCTATGAGTTTTCTGGTCCTCACTGATATTCATCCTTCTGATTCGTCTTGAATACTTGTCTACAATGCAGACCCACAGAAAAATGGCAAAAGATCAACCAACTGCTTCCGATTCACCTTCTTCTGATTCAGAAGCTCTGGTTGCAGTTGAGCCGCGTCCATATGGAACCTTTAATACGGTATGAGGCAGCTTCCCCTATTTACAAACCACAAGAAGCTGACTAACGTCCTATCTGTTATTATGAGTCAAATCAGGCTTCTGTTGATTGCAATATAAGATTGAAACTAATTTGAAACTCTGTAAACCTCTCAATTAAGACAGTTTCTGTGACATATGTTGAACAATGTCTCAGATTCAAGAGGTTTATGATGAAGCTGGAGTAACTGGCTTCTGGAAAGGTGTAATTCCAACATTAATTATGGTACGTGAGCTTATAATTTTGAAGCTTCTCTTATGTTGTTTGTCTAAGTGCATTTTTATAGTTTTATTTTTCAAACCACAGGTTAGTAATCCGTCAATGCAATTTATGTTGTATGAGACAATGTTAACCAAGCTGAAGAAAAAGCGTGCGTTGAAGGGTAGCAACAGCGTTACCGCTTTGGAGGTTCATACTCTGGCATTTTGGATTTATTTCTTTTATATAAGATGCCTACTTGCTCTTCAACTTCCCATCATCCCATGATTATCTTCTTTCTATCTTCCATAGACATTTCTTCTTGGAGCTGTGGCTAAACTCGGAGCAACAGTCACAACTTATCCACTCTTGGTTGTAAAGTCGAGACTTCAAGCCAAACAGGTCACGACAGGGGACAAAAGACACCAATACAAAGGTTATTCCTCTTGTAGTGATATAAGATCATAACAACTCATTTCTCAATTAAAGCTAAGAGTTGTTGTGTTGGTTTTGAAATCGCAGGAACGTTGGACGCGATTTTCAAAATGATCCGATACGAAGGGCTTTACGGGTTTTACAAAGGGATGAGCACAAAGATTGTGCAAAGCGTATTAGCGGCTGCAGTTCTGTTCATGATCAAGGAAGAGCTTGTGAAGGGTGCTAAGTTGTTGCTCTCAAACGCGACCTCTAGCAAAATCAAGTCCAAGCCTTCCTAAATAAACGCTATCCAACTAGCATTTTTAGATTATAAAGATTGAAATAAAAAAAATAGCTTAAAGTTCCAATAGTTTCTTGATTAATTTATCACACTATTGGGATTGTCGTGCATTTCCGTAATGATTGCAATTGATCATTGTATTTCTACAAGATAACTGGATCGGAAGGTTTTATACCTTTTCTTAGTAATGAAATCTCAATAAAATTTGGCAAGTTTGTTGTATTTTATTGTTTTGTGATCTCTCAGCAAAATAATAAAGTGTAATTATATTGTATATAGATCTCTCAATAGTCAATATAAAGCAATCTACAGCATTTAAGTTAAAAACTTATAAATAGTCAAATATATATGATCATAATTGATAATTTTTTATTTGTTTTTACCAAAAAAAAAAATCATGGTTTTTATTTGTTGACAAGAAAAATCTAAATGTTATAGTTGACTTGACTACATAAATAGAAAACAATCAAGTATCAACTAACGCAAGTAAGAGCCTGGTCCTTGTGAAGCCCAGAAGAAGGCCCAATTTTGCTCTTATCTACAAAACGACGTCGTAATAAACCAGTTTTGACTGAAACGTCTTCTAGCTCCATCCAATATATCTCGGCTTCTTCCTCCTCGAACCAAAAACATCAGTCTCTTCTAGTCTCTGCGTTCGTGAAATTCCCACTCTCTGCGTTCGAATTCTCGGAGAGGCCTTGAGATCTGGTATTTTTTGGATCGGATCTATCCGCCATGGAAGAGAAGAAGACAGAAACGACGAACAAGAACGTTAAGAAGGCCAATCTATTGGACCACCACTCAATCAAGCACATCCTTGACGAATCAGTCTCCGACGTAAGAACTTTCTAAGAGGTTTCGTTTTGGTCTCTCAATATTTATCTGATCTATGAATTTATGATCTTCCTTTTTGTCATTTTCGATTGCGTAGATCGTGACGAGCCGTGGTTACAAGGAGGATGTGAGGTTGAGCAACCTCAAACTGATTATGGGAACGGTTATCATCGTCGTTGCTCTTGTTGCTCAGTTCTACAACAAGAAGTTCCCTGAGAACAGGGACTTTTTGATTGGATGCATTGCATTATATCCTTTTTCTCGAAAATTCGCTTTGTTGCTTTCTGCTTTGGTTCTCCTTACAGTTTCTAGTTCCTAAGATGAAATTTCAGAAAATTGCATTATATCTTTGGGCTTAGGCTTAGCTTTAGATTTTGAAAAATCTCATTTGTATCAAACGTATGACCAAAAATACTGCTTTATGAATGTCTTGTATTCGGATAATTTTGAGTAAGATGTTTTGGTCCTTGACTATGGTACGTATGTAGTGTTGAATGCGGTGTTGCAGCTGATTCTGTACACTAAGGAGAAGAATGCCATTTTGTTCACATATCCTCCTGAGGTTTGTTCCTCTCACTGTTGAGAAATTATTTCATTGACAAGTTTCGTGGTTTAGGCTACATTCATGTTTTGTCTATGATGCAACAATTGTACTTCTGTGATATAGGGATGCATAATGTCCATATTTTCCCTGTTCACTTATTTTGGTGGCAAAATTTTGCATTCCCTTCTGCTAGTTTGACATGTTATGTAAAGTTTGCTTATAATGAGGAATCTTGGTTTTCTTTGTTGCATTTATGAATCTACATTTCCCTTCCGATATATTACTCTAGGAAGTTTTCAATTAGTGTTTGCAATCAGTGCTGTCTTTTTTCTGAAACTTAATTGCTCAACTAAGTTGATTATTCTGTAATGTATATTGGGTAGATTTCCTTTTCATCCTCAGCAGTTGGAGGAAATTACTTCTCTCGTTTTGTTAGTATCCGAGACCGACAGGATGAGATATTTTCAAACATTTCATTTTGTACTCGTTTAGTTAGTTCTAGAATATGCAACAATCCTATTCTGTCTTACTGAAATTGTATTAAATTGATACAATATTCTGGTTAGTAGGGTTGCTTCATTTTGTTATGTCAAAACTGATAAGGATCCTGAATGTCTCTGGTTAATATATATTGAAAGGAAGCAACCGCTTAGCATTTGCTGCACACTTCCATTTATTTTGCTGCGGCTCAAACACCGCTCAGCATTTACTGCTACTCTATTATAAATCTGAAAATCCGGTGGTTAAAATGCAGGGATCATTCACCAGCACTGGCTTGGTGGTATCTTCAAAGTTGCCCAGATTCTCTGATCAGTACACTCTTACCATCGACAGTGCTGATCCAAAATCAATCTCAGCGGGGAAGTCAGTTCAGCTCACCAAAAGTGTCACCCAATGGTCTCCATTTCTCTCTCTCTCTCTCTGTCTCGGCATTTTCTTTTCAGTTGCTCACGCCATATGTGCGCATCATAAACTCTTTACATGGTTTTCTTGTGTGCGTTTGCAGGTTCACGAAAGATGGAGTTCTGGTTGAAGGTTTATTCTGGAAAGACGTTGAAGCACTAATCAAGGACTATGCAGAAGAAGAACCAAAGAAGAAGAAATGATAATCTCTTGAAGAAATATATATGTTGTTGCGTATTAGAAAACTAAATCGATGGTGACTTTGTTTAGAGATGAAACTAATATTCCCCATAAGAGTAACCATTCAGGTTTTTGTTATAACCAAATTTTAGAATCAATCTGAGATATTATGATCAATCAAGTAGTAAGCAAAAATGGCTCACAACAAGTATATGTTTTTGTCATTTAGTTATTGGTACTAGTATATAAGATACAAGTCAAATGCTACACGAATTGTATGATTGATGTTAAAAACACCAAGAGATGAGTGGTTTGGATGAGGCTAGGCTAGGCTCTTTCTAGGTTTGCTTTTCTCTTTCTCGTATTGTTTGGGAAAAAGTTCATTTGTTGATTGGGATCCCTTTGTTGATTGTATCAGGTTGGAGTCACCTTTAAAAATCACTTTTCAATGAGAAAATTTTCCAATAACTCAACAATTGTTTCCAGGCTATGCAAAAATATTGAATAGTTTTTTGATGGGACAAAGAATACAACACCATTTTGTCAAATGTAAGATATGACAACTAAAATTTGGAAATGGGAATTTTGAGCACCCAAAACTTAAATTACCACTAACTAATGTGGAGTATTTAGCCAAAAAAAAAAAGAAAAGAAGAAGGTAAAATAATATTTTCCTGCTTTATAGTTGTAATCATAATTTTTTTTTTATAGATCTACAATGGTATATAACATGGAAGTCATTAAATAAAGAAATTTTAATGATTAAAGAACTGTATATCTACTAAAATCCTAGAATCCATACATTTTTTATCCATCCATTGGCCACAAATACAAACCTGTCCCCTCATCAAGCATCAATTTCAACTAAAACTTTGTGAAGAAGAAGATAAGAAAAATGGGAAATTTAAGGGTTTGTAATTTTAAAAATAAAAAACAACTGGCCAATTTAAAGCTGACGTGGCTCCAGCTCGAAGTCGTTTTTCTTAATAGCGTAAAATTCGCGTGCGTGCGTGCTCACTCAATCAATCAAACGAGCCCCGGATATCAAACCTAATCGAATAAACTACATTTAACTAAGTTAGTTCGAATCCGCCAGTACATTACACATACAGACGAGGTGGTGTTTTTGGTTTTTCTTTATCTTTTTTTTTTTCCATAATCCGCTACGACGCGGAAGGGAATCAAAATAAAAGGCACTTGTTTCAATTCTTTCCTCCCCAAAACTAAAAAGATATTTATATCTCTTCTCTCTAAGCTCTCTAAGCTCCCAAAAAAAAAAAAAAAACCCCTATCTCTCTTTCTCTCTCGCAATTTTGCATCGGAAAAAAAAATCTCTGGATTTTGATTCTTTTGAAAGCATTCATCGGTTCTGTAGGGTTCTCCAACGATTTATTTTATATTCGTCTGTTTGCAATTTCTGGATCGAAGTTTTTGGTTTCTCTGTATAAGTTTTTTTTTTCACCGATCCGAATATTTTGATATGGCCGATTCTAGGAAACGAGACTCCGGAGAAGATGATCGTCACCGTGATGATCAGCCAAATGACGGCGATGATTTCTCGTATGATTCTCGATCTAACGGATTTGAAGGGGAGACTGAATCGACGAGGACCGAGAGTAGTGTTTCAGATCCGTTGACTGAAGAAACCGGAGGAGGTGGCGGAGACTTTTTGGTTGGTGAGGATAGGGTTTTACGGTGGCTGCAAGCTCTGGATATGCAAGTTATGGGAGCTTGTCGAGGTGACGAGAGGTTGAAGCCGTTGTTGAAGCTTAACGTCTCTAACGGGATGGCTGAAGATCGATTGCTTGCTCATCTTAGCCAGGTTTGTACTATTTGTGTGTGTTTTTAATTGATCTTCTGTTTCTGAATATCATTTTTTTTTGGATGGGATGTTTATCATTTTGCTTGTTTTATTTGAATAGCACTTCGAGCCGGCTGAAATTGGTATGCTGGCTAGATGTTTTTGCATACCTCTGGTTTCCGTTCGCGTCGGGAAGATTAAGAAGGACGGCATTCTAATGCGCCCCACTACCACAAGGTAATCAACCAGATATCCAATGTTTCATGAGTCCTGTCTATGTTAATTGCTAGTTTCTTCTTTGTTTTCTTAGTGATATGTGAACATGATGGTCTGTTAATTCCAGCTCTACTCTAGAGCTCTATAATTTTAGATTTTTTTCGGGCTTTGAAGATGGGTCTTATGTTAGAGCTGTTGCATAGCATATAAGAGAAGGTTGATTATTGGGTTTTTTGTGCAATCTGCCATTGATTACGCCATTTTTTTCATTAAACAGTGCTCCCTTAAAGGCTGATTAGCTAAATCAATTGTGATTTTGAAATCATCTGATGATTTAAAGTAAGTTGAACATGCTGATTTGTGTCTGCACACATGCAATTCATGCTTTAGTGCTATTGATACTTTCTCCATGTCTGGTCTCATGGTTCAAGCTCGTTTATTAAATACTATGCCTGTTTCCATATTAAATGTTGCATCTCTGTTTTACTAATCTTTTGCAGTTCTATTATGTGCTAACACTTTGGAGGTTAGTTAAATTACATAGTCTTTACCCATTTGGTTAGTGATGTTTGTCTTAATGTATATCTAACGTTTAGTAATCAGATCTATGCATGACTTACCTGGGTTTAAATTTAAGGCATTTAGAAATCATAGGAAACTCAGTCAGTAGTTTGGTGATACTGTTCATCTTTCCAAATAAAATGTATTTTTTATTGTAGGTAATGTGGGCGTTATCTGTTATGATCTCTGGTAGATGATGAAGTAAAGGTAGTTTCATCTCCGATGCTGTATAGTTTGCTCTTGAATTTGTAGTCACATAGGCTTTAATATTCTCTGTGTTTATCATAACATACTGACTTTATATTCTTCTTAAACACGTTACATTATTTGCTGTGGCTTTCTTTAAATTGTTATTTTTTTGTTTTGATTTGTTTTTCTGTTTTTCTCTTATCGTGACTACTTATTTGGTCTAAATGGCCTTACTGGTGGCACCATTCTGTTGAAAATATAACAATTGGTCTATTTAAAGTTCGTTTTGGGATGCTATTAGATAATCATTTTTTTTTTTTTTTTTGGGTCAACTTCTTCGAAGTTGCACTGTGGAGGAAACAATTTTTTTGGGTCATTGAGGTCCTTATAACTTATGAATGATGTAGTTTCAGTTAGGCTAAGATTCTGTCATAAAAGTCTCAATTTAGTGTACATTTCTTCTCAATGAGAGAAGCTTGGGGTGGCATATTAGGACTGTACTGTCAATAACTTAGAATAGGTCAGCTATTAAGTAAGCAATTGTATGTATGTTAATAGATTCTTTTCTAGTAGTTTAAAATTAGGGACAACTTGTTATGTTGCGAGATCATTAAAAGCTCCTGGACTTGATCCAACTTCATTGTCTGGTTATTAGCATCTAGTTTTTATTTGTTAGTGCCTTGGGTTTGATATTAGAGATTCTTTTTGACTAATTTGCTGACATTTTATTTCTCATTGATCAGGGGTAACTTGAGCCTTATCGTCTTGCCAACATCCGACTTGAGACTTTCATTTATCGGAGACAATGGCCATTCAGAACAACTCTTTACATATAGCAGTAAATCTCAGTGCTCTGCCGTGTCAATTGAGGAGATAAATGCTGACAGCTCTGGTAGATCTTTTGTCATAAGGATTGCAGACGGCAATGCTTTCTACTATTGGTGCTCAGAGAAGTCAAAACTTCTGGGAACTGAATTGCGTAGGAAGGTTGGTGAGATTGAGATGATAATTTTGTTTTTGAATCCTTGTCTTTGTATCTAGATTTTCTCATTATCTATTTGTTTTATTCCTGTGTAGATGAAAGACTTGATAAAAAAGAAGCCATCAATCTCGGAATTAACTGGAATTGAAGAATCGCGTCTTGGCTCCGTTGCTTCTCATCTCCGTTTGTATCTTATGGGTTCAGTAGTGCCCAACATCAAAGGTTGTCCGGTCCCAACTCCTGAATCATTATCGTCTTCTGGCTCTTCTGAAACGGCTGATTCTTCCTCCTCGAGTGCATCATCAAAATCTCTTAGAGCACGCCACAGTGGGACTCAACTGACAAAGGCCCAAGGAAGCCTCAGCCCTAGATCAAGCTCCTTCAAAGAAAACACAATGAAAAATTCTTCTCTACGAATCTCCTCTAGAGATAAATCAAAAAGACGCAGTGAAGGGCATTTTCCAATCTTTGATAATTTACCCATTACTTCCACCCCCACCAATCTAGAGGGCTTTATACAGTTGGAAGGAGAAGGTGAAGAAACCGCTGAGGAGAATAATGGAAGCAGTCAATTTATTGCTTTCGGAGCAGCAGAATTAACACCAAGTACAATGACCGGACCACCACAATTTCCTTTGAAGATGGGTCCACCAGTCTTTTCACCTTATTACTGCTGGTGCCCTCCGAGCACCTCATCGCTTCACGCAACATCTGCCTCTTATCAGTTCCCACCACTATCCATCGAGCTACCTTCACTTCCGCCCCTTTCCTCCTTATTGCCATCATCGTTGTTACCAGCATCAGGATCAGATGGGTTTTTGATTCCATCATCACCGCTTGATCTCTCGGACATCCCTCCATTACCTTTAGTCCACCACATACCCATGACGGGCTCCTCATCATCATCCCAGCAGATGATGATTCCTATAATGTGCGACCCTATTGTTCATATTCCAGTCATTGATATCTGCTCATCGGGTCAAGGCTATCTAGTAAGTGCAGGACCCACCGGGATGATACCCACAGGCATCTCTCCGATCCCGGTGGAGAATGATTCTCTGGTAGAGAAAGGCGCAAGAGAAACACTACGGTTGCTCATAAGTGGAGCCAGTGCAACAACCACTGCTCCTTTGAACCACCATGGAAGCAGGGGTCTGTACAGTGGGAACCGGGATGTGAGTGGTGTGAGCTTGTTTGCACCTATTGGGCTGCAACAACCGAGTTCAGGGGATGGAGGAGATGGTGGTGGTGAGAGTGTGAACTCAGGCGAAGGAGTGCCTGCGCCTCCCAGAGAGACTTCTGGTTAGTGTTTTTGGTTTTGTTTGGGGTTCTATGTAAGTGTGTTTTAAGTGTATAGCAAGTGGGGGCGGTCGTGAAACTCATCTCTCAGCTTCGTTCTTGGTTTTGTTCACGCTCTAGTCTTTTGTCTCAGATGTAATTAGTCGGGGTTTTTTGTAGCTTGCTTATTCACCTTTGTTATTTCCGAGTTTCAAAGGAAGCTAAGAAATACGATAATAATAAAAAAGTTATTTGGCAAATTTTAAATATTTTTCTGCGAATTCCAACAACTTAACACAGCATTATTATGGGAAAAAGAGAAAAAGGTGAAAGATAGATCGATCATACAGCGAGAACATATCTTAATAGTTGTAGTACACACTCTTCTCTTTCGCGTTTTCCATATTCATAATCATAATCACAAAAGATTACATCATTGTTGATTCTGTTAAAACATTATTTAAGTTGTTTTTCTTCAACAAATATAGGTAAAACCATATTAGGTTCTAACATTTTTCATATAGTCAACTACTTTTTCTTTTCTCATTAAAAGCGGAAAGGAAAAAATTATCCTAGAAAAGAAAATAGACTTTTATCATATGAAATAATAGTACTAAATAATAAGATTATTTTTATTTGGCTTAGAATTGAGGTTATTAACCAATAAATAAATGATTTGTCCATCGAATAAATCAAAACCAGATTGGTTAATCTTGTCGTGTAGCTAAAGATCTGACCACCTGCTAATAAAAAAGGAAAAAAGAAAAAAGAAATTAAGAAGGAGAAGAAGAAGAGAAAGAAAGATCGCATCTCCACCGTCAACTTCACTGTGTCTCATCTCTCCTATCGTCGTCCCACTTGATTGATCCCCAAAATTTATATATTAACCAATCGATTTTTTTTTTCTTTTTTTTTTTTTCTTGATTCCTTCTCCCTCCTCGTTCCACTTTCTTCTTCTTCCTCCTTCCTCCTTCCTCCCAATCCGCCTCTTCTTCCTACGCGTGTCTCCTTCTCCTTCTCCTTCTCCCTCACTCTCATCTCTTTGCTTCTCTGATTCACTGTCTCTTCGGATCTCTCTCTCTTGCTTCCTTCCTTCTCACTTGACCTTATGTGTTTCCTTGGATCTGCCACTGAGTTTTCTATTCTTAATCTTCGGGTCTCTTGAATAAATCGAATCTTTCTTGGATTCGTTTTTTTTTCGTTGGTTAGTTTTTTTTTTTTGGTTCGGTTGGATTCGATGGAGGATCCTGATATCAAGAGGTGTAGATTGAGCTGCGTTGCGACGGTAGATGACGTCATCGAGCAAGTTATGACTTACATAACCGAGCCCAAAGATCGAGATTCGGCGTCTTTGGTGTGCCGGAGGTGGTTCAAGATTGATTCCGAGACCAGGGAGCATGTCACTATGGCGCTCTGCTACACCGCCACTCCCGATCGTCTCAGCCGTCGCTTCCCCAACCTGAGGTCGCTCAAGCTTAAAGGCAAGCCTAGAGCAGCTATGTTTAATCTTATCCCGGAGAACTGGGGAGGATATGTTACTCCTTGGGTTACCGAGATTTCCAACTCGCTAAGGCAGCTCAAGTCAGTGCACTTCCGACGGATGATTGTCAGTGACTTAGATCTGGATCGTTTAGCTAAAGCCAGATCAGATGATCTTGAGGCTTTGAAGCTCGACAAGTGCTCTGGTTTCACTACTGATGGCCTTTTGAGCATCGTTACACACTGCAGGTACATTTCTTTCTGTGCGAGCATCCTTCTACTTGTCTCTTGTTTCTAGCTTTTGAGTTTGCTACTCCGAATCGATGCTTTTTGAACTTCTTTTGCAACTCTACGCTTCAACTACAACTGTAGAACAAGATTGCACTTGGCTCCCTTTCTTTTTTTTTAACTTTTAAATCAGTTGTATAAAAAGAACCATCTTGAAGTTTGTGTTTCGAAGATCTGATATTTTTTAGCTCAATTGGGTAAGTATTAAACTTTGGTGCGCACTTTTTCTGTTTGTTGATATCGTTGAACCTTACTTTATATTGATTTCTTACCACACTTTACAGTCAAGAGTTATATAAGCGGAAATATCCATTTCGAACATTTGCAGTTTCTAGGAATTAATGTTGTTTTTATATCCTTAATTGCTCTGCCACTGGTATGCTTGCTATTAAAGCAGAAATTGCAATGTTGTTCACTTATTTCTCAATTGGGGAAGTATAAACCTTGGTGCGGATTTTCTCTGCAAGTTGTGCCTTCAGTTCTAGTTGAAAATCCAAAAACGTTGTCAATGTCTGCTGTTTGAGTTGTTCTTTTTACTTTATTCATGTTTATGTCTGCTGTTTTCTCCAGGAAAATAAAAACGTTGTTAATGGAAGAGAGCTCTTTTATTGAAAAGGATGGTAAGTGGCTTCATGAGCTTGCTCTGCACAACACATCTCTTGAGGTTTTAAACTTCTACATGACGGAGTTTGCCAAAATCAGCCCTAAAGACTTGGAAGCCATTGCTAGAAATTGCCGCTCTCTGGTTTCTGTGAAGGTCGGTGACTTTGAGATTTTGGAACTAGTTGGGTTCTTTAAGGCTGCTGCTAATCTTGAAGAATTCTGTGGTGGCTCTTTAAATGAGGATATTGGAATGCCTGAGAAGTACATGAATCTGGTTTTCCCCCGAAAACTATGTCGTCTGGGCCTCTCTTACATGGGACCTAATGAAATGCCAATACTATTTCCATTCGCAGCCCAAATCCGGAAATTGGATTTGCTTTATGCATTGCTAGAAACTGATGATCATTGTACGCTAATCCAAAAGTGTCCGAATTTGGAAATTCTCGAGGTAAATATGTGATTAACTCTCCTGTCTTGTTAACTACATATTTGGGGCTGCGTCATTAGTGGTATATGTTCATATTGATTACTCATCCTGTTTGTTTGTGAAAGATTTCTAAAGCAAGTAATTCACCTTTTTCTTATCAATTCAACACTGTTAACTATCATGAATCTAGCATTAAAAGTATAAAATGTGGTAGATAGGGGATTTGAATGCAATATCTGTTCTCCTTACATAAAAATATTCCACTGAAATTCTTGTTGTATTTCAGACAAGGAATGTAATCGGAGATAGGGGTCTAGAGGTTCTTGCACAGCACTGTAAGCATTTGAAGCGGCTGAGGATTGAACGAGGGGCAGATGAGCAAGGAATGGAGGACGAAGAAGGGTTAGTCTCACAAAGAGGACTTATTGCTTTGGCTCAGGGCTGCCAGGAGCTAGAATACATGGCGGTGTATGTCTCAGATATAACTAACGAATCTCTTGAAAGCATTGGCACATATCTGAAAAACCTCTGTGACTTCCGCCTTGTCTTACTTGACCGGGAAGAAAGGATTACAGATTTACCACTGGACAACGGAGTCCGATCCCTCTTGATTGGATGCAAGAAACTCAGACGGTTTGCATTTTATCTGAGACAAGGTGGCTTAACTGACGTGGGCTTAAGTTATATCGGACAATACAGCCCAAACGTGAGATGGATGCTGTTGGGTTACGTAGGTGAATCAGATGAGGGTCTAATGGAATTCTCAAGAGGTTGTCCAAATCTACAGAAGCTTGAGATGAGAGGTTGTTGCTTCAGTGAGCGAGCAATTGCTGCAGCGGTTACGAAATTGCCCTCACTGAGATACCTTTGGGTACAAGGTTATAGAGCATCGATGACGGGACAAGACCTAATGCAGATGGCTAGACCGTACTGGAACATCGAGCTGATTCCATCGAGAAAAGTCCCAGAAGTGAATCAGCTAGGAGAGATAAGAGAGATGGAGCATCCGGCTCATATATTGGCTTACTACTCTCTGGCTGGTCAGAGAACCGATTGTCCAACAACTGTTAGAGTCCTGAAGGAGCCAAATATGATATGACCAAAAAACAGGTTTGTATATAAAGATTTGGTCATCTTTTCTAGTCTCGAGTTTTGGGGTTTCCACGAACTGTGTACCTTTGGTTCTTATTTTTTTTGGGTTTCATGTTGTATCCGTCAATGGTTTTGGGAGATTACATAGTCTTGTTTGTATGGCCATCACATTTTTATTTTTCCACAGGGGTCTCTGTCTCTTTCCTTTTTCAATAAAACCCCGAAGATTTTGAGAGATTTCTGCTTTATCGTCGATTTACATTATTTGATTTGGTTGGCATTTCTGTAACTCTCTCTGTTGTTGTGACAAATATAATTTTTTTCAAAAACATTAGTAAATAAGGGAAGAAGTAAGTTATTCATTCATACAACTTTATAGATGAAAACTTTGATTTCTTGTTCTCACACGAATTTCAAGGAGGACGATGTTGATGTAACAAGCTTCTGATTAAATAACAGATGATAAAGGAATCTATAAAGAATGAGTGGACATATCTCAAGCCGACCAAAGGTACCCCATTCAGATTCTTCTTACCACAAAAGAACCTTTACAATAATACATTATCTAGGTAATGAAATAATTGTCGTATATGATCTCATTCACATCTGAGAAGATTCCCCCATATGTTGTGTTTTCTTCAAGTGAACTTTTGGAGAAATCACGCAAAGTCAGTCTCAACTGTCGTCAACTGGTGAAAGATGGAGAATGATGGAAGAGTAACTGAGCATTGGGTACATATTTGCATCCAAGAAGTGCCTATACTGCTTCATCGCTGTTTCTCTCTCTGGGAGGTCCGGTGTCATGCAGTCATAAGGGCTCGGTTTGCTCGTGTCTACAAATGGCTCCCATCGGTATCCAGGCCGGCTAGGGAGTGAAACAAGAGTGGCTAGATGACTCGTGTTGAATGCCACATAGATTTCTCTCTTCACAGAATCAACCTGTACAATAGCAAAGATATATTTAATCACTAATATAAGAAGCTGTCCTTGTAAAGAGGTTTCAGTTCCTAGAGATATCAAATGTGCGCTCTTGCTTTATAACACCACTACCTAAGTGACAAGAGATTAGGGTATGAGAAAAATAGTACCAGTGAAAATGCAACAAATCGACTTATTTCAGACCAATCTGGCACCTCAGGAGCAAGACCATGCCACTGCAGACGCTTTGCTGTTGGAAAATCGTACAGGCCAAGTGATTCACATTCACTACAAGACAATACAATTCCCATAAATCAGAAAATCCAAAAGCTGGGAAAAAAAGAGGATTGCAAAAGCAAGACAACACATATGAGAAGGTGAGAAGAAAGTAGCATGTCAATTCTTGGATTCGAAATTATATGAAAGCAATCATCTAAGCTTACGTAATACTCATAAAAGAAG